CCATCGCCGCGACAGCTGCCCTTTGACGCAGAAACAAAAGCCACGATATCCTCAAGCACACCAGATCTTGAAAGAACGTCAACATTCTGATGCGAACTCTCAGCCAACATACCAGCATCAAGCTGGACAACATGGCTGTGGCGAGTGACAATGGATGTCGATGGCGGTGGCATTGCCCCTCATAAACGTCTGTGGTGCTGAGGATGCTGACCGCCACCCCCCTCCTTCTCCCCATCATCCTCCTCTTCCGCCTTCTGTCCCTCCTCCTCCTCTTCCTCATCGTCCCTCTCCCCCTCCTCGTCCTCTGCTTTATCCTACAACATCCTTTGCTAATCCCTTCGCCCCCCCCCCCCCCCCCCCCCCTCTTCACCGCGTGTCTCTCCTCTGCGCAAACGTGGGCCAACATAGCTTTCATCGAGAAATCTGCCACCGCGGTGACCGCGCGGACGCAGCGCGTTGGATGGCATGTCGGTGTGTCAGTTGTCTGTTAAGGCGTCTGTTGTTTCTGTTTGCCGCTAACGGCCTTGAAGTTCCTCTCGACCCCCCTGAATATTTCATGCACGTTTGAATTTTGGATGAGGCAGATGAGGGTGAGAGGGTGAGGTTTTGATACTACCTAGTCGCGCAGGAAGCATGCCACCGCCAGTGGCTTGAGGCCCTGAGGTGGGCCCACGTGGAAGGCCAAGAGGGGAGGTAGCCAGAGGCTCCCCCCCCCCCTCGAAAGGGCCCATTGCGCCCCTCCCGCAGAACCAGCCGAGCGCCAAGAGACCGTCTTCATCACCGATCGCCCTCGACGGGCTGCCGACCTCCAGCAGATCATGGCCAGCAACGGGATCACGAGCATCAGCGGCCTGGACTGCGCCCAGATCGCAACCCCCTGCGATGGCCAGACCTCAGTACTGCCGACAGAACTTCGGCGAGCACAACGCAGGATCCTACATGGCGAGGTAGCGGCCATCTACGCAGAGTTCCCACGACGAACCTGGTACCTACACGATGCAACTGACGTTCTAGGCAGCCGAGCAAGCATGCGGCGCACCCCAGAGGCACCCTGGGGAACGCCTCACGCCTCCGAGACCACCGCCGACGAGATATTCGCCGCATGAGCTTCATGGCGACCACGACCAACGTACCATTCGTCGCAGCCATCTCGGCGGAGTCGATCATCAGACAAACTCCCGAATATTAATGCATTGCCAACCTGGCGACTGTCTACGAAACCCCGACAAATCACTACGACCTCGGCGCCACACAGATCCTCGACAACGGCGCCCGCGACGACCTCCGCAACATAATGCATACGGCAAGCGAAGAGGAGATCGACATCGCCATCGCCGGCCTGCTCGACGGCAGCATTGCGGCTAGATGGGGCCTCAGAACCGCAACCGTTGCGCCCACCAGCCAGAAACTGAACACCAACGACGCCTACTACATAGAACGAGAAGACGAAGTGCCGCCTCATGCAGAAGACGAACGCCACGAAGGGTGTCACCGACGACGTGCTGAAAGGCGTCAGGACGCAAGTCCTGAGGAAGCCCCGAGCGCGTGGGAACACCTCAGGCAGCGTCGCCAAGTTTTGCAAGAGGCGTTATGACGCAAGTCCTGGGGAAGCCCCGAATGCGTGGGAACGCCCCAGGCACAAGTCGCCACGTTTTTTTAGTATTGCTGAAGGCAGCGGCCGCACGAGCACGAGGTCAGCGGACACCTGCGAGCCGCATTACAAACTCACCCCGCTCCTGCCAAGCACCACCGACCAGCTACAACCCACGACCCAAAGAACGACATACCACACCACATCACAAGTCAACGCTGCCCTGGTGAGGCAAGGATCAAACTTCGAGACGGGCTCGAAGGGTGGGGGGGCAGGACGAGTACTGCCCGCGCCAACCAGATGGGATGGTGAGGGGCAGGGGGGGGGGGGGGGGGATAGGACGGCCACTACCCGCGCCCCCGCGGTCCACCCTAGCTCGCCGCCCCCACCATTCCCATGGCGAAGGGGGTGCTTACCCGATCGCCCAAGCGGCGAAGCAGAAGGCAGCCGAGACATTCCTCACCGACAACAGCAGCAAACACCAGGCCTGGGGTTCGCCCCCACCGAGGGCACCGTGACCCCTAGCCATAGCAGGACGATGTGGGGCCGCCACGAACCCCGCTTGAAGTCGGTGCATGGAGGCCTCTCAAGTGCGCCCATAACCCATACCACAACCCCAGCAACAATCCAATCTCCCCACGACCTACCCGTTGACACTCAAGACGACCATCCACAATCCATGGGACTCACCACCGACCGACCACCCACTCCGCAACCACCATCCATCCAACAACCTTCACCACCTCGATACCACCTGCCCGCTGAAAGGAGGACAGGAGAAGGGTCCTCAGCAGCGCGGCACGACGCAACCATGACAGAGCCCGCTGAAAGGAGGACTGGAGCAGGGTCCTCAACAGCGACGCTCGAAGAGCACGCCCTGGAGACACCGAAAAGGAGGACAGAAGCAAGGTCCTCGGAACCGACCTCCAGCAGGCGCGCCCGCAGAAAGGAGGACAGGAGCAGGGTCCTCAG